AAACAGCTCTTTTTAAATTAAACAAACAAGATAAGATAAGATAAGATAAGATAAGATAAGATAAGATAAGATAAGATAAGATAAGATAAGATAAGATAAGATCCCACCACAGTGGGCAGATTTGCACATTACTGCAGCTCAACACAGACAAATAAGAGGAAAAACGTGCTAGTTAATACCTCAATTATTATATGCTACAAAAATCTATTTAAAAAAATGCAAAACCTCTGAAGCAACTTTATTATTATTAATTGAGTCAGTTTTCTTCACAATTTTCTGATGGATTAATACATCAATTACATGACTCAGTGAAGAATAATGTTCCATTTTTTCAGCACTTTGTATTTGTAGATGAAATGTGCAAAACACTGCTAATAATACACCACCCATACAACAATAGGATTTTAGTTAAACAAGTGAGAATACCTATTTATTTTTAGACTTGGACACCTCCCATATATTTCATAAAAGAAACATCTTTCAAAATTTAAACAAGCTGCAAAATACTGGCCTTAACATGACTGAACAAACATTTTGACATCTTTGTTTTTACGAAACTGCACTTCAGGTTTTATGATTTCTGAAGAATATACCATAAAAGTGTCTGCCTGAGCGATCTTCATTCAAATCAGGTGTTTTGGAGCAGAGAAACCTCTAAACCATGCAGGACAGCTGCCCTCAAGGACCAGGACTGCCCACCTGGTTTAGGGGCTGCAYACTCTCATTGACCTCCACTCATTCTAAATTTTCTTTTCCAAACTGGAAGTGTAATTTAGTCTTTTTTAATCCTCACATATCAACAGAAAACACCACAGGTGATGATAAATTGTTCTTGTGTTTTAGTTTTCACAATTTCTGCTTGTCTGGAGCTTCATTCTACTGTGTTTCTGTCTGCATGTCTTACACATGAAGTGCCATTATTTTGACATCGCTTAAAAATATTACAATTTATATGAGACTTTTTTTTAATAAAATGGATGTATCTAATGGACAACGTTTAGAAAATGTATTTAGAAATGTTTGAGATGATAAATGTTATTTTTAAAAAAAGGACATGACCTTAGCCACCCTTAAAAGGAGGTCAGTGTGGACCTTCATCATGACCCAGACAGGAARTGTTTCTCTGCTCATGAAGTCTGTAAATAAGCAGAAAATTTCTCTGAGGATTAATTAAACTTTCCAGACCGGACTCACCGTGTCCGAGTGCAGGTCCTGCTGCTGGCACAGGCGGTACAGAAACGAAGTTTGCTCCTTCAGGAGGGTCTGCCGCGTCGTGAGGAACACCGTTCCGCCTACGTTCAGCCGGACCCACTTCCCGTTGTTCCCCCCGTTGGAGCTGATGACCGAGCGGACGCCGTTACCAACGCTCTGCGACGCCGTCCCGCCGGGTTCAGAGGTGTTCGTGGCGGTGGCGGAGGTCGCGCTCTCTACCGCCTCGCTGTCTTTGTTGTTGTTGTTGTTATTGTTGTTGCTGTTGTGCTGGGAGCCGTGGCGTGTGGACGGAGCAGGAAGCTCCACCGGCTCCTCTTGGTCTTTAGCGGTCGTTGCCATTTGTAGAAAGAGCTWCTCGGGACACGACCTGAAGGCTTATTCTAGCCTGACTGAGTTCGACTTCTGTCCGCTAACAACCGAACAAGCTCCGCCCCCGACCTGCGCGCATGGGTGCAGAAAATACACATCCGGAAAGTACTTTCAAAATAAGAGCAATCACACCAAGGAGGTTTACAGAACTACTCAAGTACACTTCGCTGCAGCATGCAGCTCGGGGCGGTGACAGACCTTTCCGTCAGTCCCATTCCTTATATGGAAATG